AGGCTGAGGGAGTTGGTGTTGTTCAGCCTGGAGAAGGCTCTGAGGAGACCTTAGAGCATCCATCCAGTACTTAAAGTGGGCAACAGAAAAGCTGGGGAGAGACTTTTTCTCAGGGTGTGCAGTGATAGGACAAGGGGAATGGTTTTAAACTTAAAGAGGGTAGATTTAGAGTGGATAGTCAGATGAAATTCTTGATTTGGAAGTGAGGCACTGGAACCGGTGCTGTGGGTCCAGAGGACACCCAGAGGGAGTTTGGACCAGCCCATGCCCTTGTGTTTGAAGGAACAGCTGGCGAGAGAGGAGAGGCAGCAGTGAAATCATGGGAATATCGGAGTGAGAGCAAGGTGGGGAAGAGAAGTGCCTGTCTGCAGCCTTCAGAGAGGTGTGGGACAGCATAGAAAAGTCTGCAGAGGAGAAGGCAGAGGGCTTTGACAAGAATGGAAGGCTGCAGCAGCACTCACCTTTGTCCCCTTGGCCATGGCTTATGAGGAGACGTGTTATACTGCAATAAATGACTGAGTCCCAAATAGGATTGCAATTAAAATTTACAATTTCTTAAAGGAATAGAGGCAAGCAAACAGCACTGGGTGTGCCAGGAGTCTCCGCTCACCAAGACACACCTATTACATCAGGTGGCTGTTTTTTATGCTCCTAGGCTAATACATATTCTACACCACTTTTTGGAAAAGGCAGGGTTATTATAATTAGTTTCCCGGCATCCGAACCATCCCATGGACGCACGCGTATCAGTCTCCGGTGGTCCCTCTGGGGGGTCGCTCGTACTGAAGGCTCATAGTCTTCCTTCCAGGCTTTGTCCTTCAATTGTTCTTCATCTTCCCCCCTTCTTCTTATTTGGTCATATCTTAGCTGGATATCAGAGACCCGTGCAGTGCCACATGCAGTAGTTAGCAGTTATTTTGAAACCCCTTTGTTCTCTTCTCCAGATATCAGAGACTTGTCCCATGCAAAAGTCAGCAGTTTTGGAAACTCCTTTGTTCTCTTATCCCCTAGACCCGAGTCTCAAGGTTTACCCTTCAAACGCTCTATTGACACGAACTGCTAGACAATTCTTTTGCAAGATACAACTATATACATTAACCACTCTGTTTCACTTAGACGTGTGGTTATCCAAGGGTATGTAAGCAGAAGGTCACATTCATCATACCATGCAGCCCTAGCATTGTTCCATATCGACACGAATCAGATGAACATATTTCACATACTCGTGGCATTGGGACAATGTATTCTCCTTTCAACCATGTGAAAACTGGATGGTATCATAATGCTGTCCTTCACATGATATTATGGGCATCGTCCTACCCCACAGACTCCAGAAGTGCCCTGAGTGAGACATGGAGGTGCTGGGGGTGCAGGATCTCCCCTCAGTGGCTGGGGTCAGGCCTTGGCCTTCTGCTTCAGCAAAACAAACCAAGACTTTTCTCAGCACAGTGCCTTTGCCTGTCTGTAATCATGGCCTCTAGTTATCTGCCGTAACGTTCCCATGCGAGGCTTTCATAGAAACAGACTAGAATGACCAGAGTGTAGAGTATAGAGCAGTCTAATACTACGGAATAGAGTAGCCAGCAGAGGTGAGACAGGTACTTTGATATAATGAAAGCCATCAGAAAGCTGATCCAGTTAGATGACTGATATGGGGAGGTCAGGAGTAACCTGGCCAGGACAGATGTGAGATTGGGGGAGGGAAGAGAAGGGAGGAGGAGCTCAGAAGCTTACCTTGTAGAGGTACGAGGGTTCATGTAATGTTGAGGCTGCTGTGACACTGACTTCAAACAGTCTTGTAGGGCCTATAAACTGTTTTCAGTAACAATAATCCCTCAACCTAAACATTACACAAACACCCTGACAGGTCCACTACTGTACTGCAGAAATCAAAGTATCACCTGAAGAAAAACTCAGCCCATAGCCCCTTTCCCTTACATTTACTCTCTTGCTCACCCAAATCACTGCCCCTAACACTAACATCAGATGGCTCTATTTCATCTTAGACTTCTTGACAGATGTAAACAAAACCCTTAAGCATAATGTGTGCCCATACCCTAACCAGAGACCTGACACCACAAGCAGAACACCAAATGCTCCATCTTAAACTTTGCTTAATCTACAACCCAGAAAGGTCAAATCTAGTCCCTAGGAGAGTAGAGAGAGGTCAGCTCTACCTCAGGATCTCTTTCCGCAGCAGGAGGAATGTGACTGTGGCAGGGACTGTGAGGTCACTTCTGCCTCTGCAGTGGATAGGGCAGCAGCAGGAACGTGTCACAGAAAGGGACTGTGAGGTCAATTCTGTCTGGAGGTGGCAGGTCACACTTGCCTTCTCCCTGGGAGCTGCACTTTTGGGCTGACATCTGGCAGTGGCCCTGCTAGGCCAGCAGAAGGCACCTGCTTGGCATGCTGACTGTGGTTCCCCTCTGCCTCCAGAGCCAGGAGGACCCAGACAGAAAGAAGGCCCCAACATGGGTTGTCCTGTCCCTTCTGCTTGAGTCCATGACTGGGCAGCAGCAGGAGGCACAAGGCTTGGCTGTGTCTCCACAAGAAGCTGCAAGGCCAGCAGCAGGCCCCTGGCTTGGAAGCTGCTGCTGAGGTGACTTGTGTCTGGTTGGCTGACAGGCCACAAGGAGCCTGCTGGGTTGGGATGCCTACTTCAGGAGAGGTTTCCACCCTTATGGAGCTTCCTTTGATAGTAGAAAGAGCAGGAGAGAAAAACTGCCACAAAGTGCACCCTGGAATGTTGGCACCGGCCATGAGGAGGAAGAAATATCCAGGGGAACAACTGGTCCGTCTGCTAGAGTTAGAGGCAAAGAAGGTGTTAAGAGCCTTTGCTTTACCTCCTTTCTTGTTACCAGGTTTCCCCTCACATCCAATAAAGGATGATGATTCTCCCTAATCTTCCTTTATGTGAAGTATTTATATAAGCAGTTTTTATTTTCTTTGACAGTAATATACCAATGGAGCTCCATCTGGGCTTTGGCCCTTCTAATTTTGACCTGCACAGCCCCATAACATTCAGGACACAGCTCCAGACAAACTGAAAGCATGCATGGGAGGAAAGCACAGAAGACTTTCCTGCAAGTCCTGATGCTGCTGTCTTGTCAGAGATAGCACAATCACATGGAATTAGAACTGTCTGCCTGCAGACCTTAACACCTGACAGAATGGAGAGTCAGTCCATGGGAACCTTGAGAAACCTCAAGATTTGTCTAAAGGAACATCGTGCCCTTTACAAGAAGAAGAGCCCTGTCCTGCACTGATGAAGCGTAACCCTACACATCAGGGCAGCGTGGGACGCTGCTGAGTGAGCAGTGCCCAGAAGGAGGAGGGCCTGGGCACCACGAGGGATGCCATAGGAGCAGTGGTGCCTGCTCACTAGGAACCAGGCCAGATTCCTACAGAGCTGCCTTATGAGGAGCATGGCCACCAAGATGATCTGAGTTATCAGACTCAGTTCACATCTGGTGTGACACCACATGGACAAGGTCTGCAGCCAGCTGGTAAAGAGGTACATGTCTGGGAGTCCCTAGGATATCCTGATTTGGAGAGGAGTAAGGGCTATGGCAAGGCTGAAAGTCCCAACAGGACCCGGGTCTTTGTGTCCATGGCTATGGCTGTTGTCTCTGCCACTGAGGAGTATGAGGAGACAGTTTACTGTTAAAGCACAAGGGCCTCATTGCCTCTTTGCCTCCACCCATCAACCAGGCAGGGGTTGTACCATTCTCCTGCACTTGGCCATGCACATCCCCATCTCCTGCTGCCCCTTGCAGAGCCCTGAGCACTGTGTGAAGGGAAAGGATCTCCCTTCCCAGGAGCTGCGGGTCCTGCTTTGCTTGCTTGCTCTGTGCCATTGGACTCCCTCGAGGTGTCCCCAAGGCCTCAGGGCTTTTGTTACTGTTTGTTTTTTTTGGTGCTAGCAGGGAGGCCAGCTATGACAGAGGACTGCACAGTGCCTGCTGCTGCCTGCTGGGACACGGATGCCACTGCAGAGACAACAGGACTGGCACCAGATTACACGAGATATAATGTCTAACCCAAATACAAGAAACACAAGAGAATAATGTGGAAGCCAAAAGAGAGCAGCAGTGAAAAGGCCACGTCCTGCTGCTGGCCATGGCCATGGCTCCAGGGAAGCAGCAGCCCTGACCCGAAGGCAGCAGAGAGGCAGAACCCAGTGGGCAGTGAGGGGAGACCCAAGGGCCACTGGGGCTGCTCGTTCATGTTTCAGCTGGGCTCTTGGCCCTGAGCCCCTCCTGCGTGTCCAGGGTTTGCTCCCCCAGCTCCAGAGGAGATGGGAAGAGATGGCAGCTGAGACCAATGAATTTCTGCTGGATTCTTTATTGTCTTTATCTACACAGGAAGCATGGTTCTATAGGTAAATCTTTAACAAGTAGAAGGCTAAGAATAATATTATTTATATCTGAAACAATAGTTAGTGAAAATAATAACACAGACAAATGTAAAAAAAAAAAAAAAAAAACACTTAAAATTTTCTGAGAAAAATAGGTGTTTCTGATTATAGGCTAATTGTTATAGGAATTGTTATAAGAAGCTGAAGAACATGTATTGAAACGGTGTCCTCACTGCATCCCTTAGTTCCAGGTTCCTCATGCTGTAGATGAGGGGGTTCACCGCTGGAGGCACTGGTGAGGGGAAGAGATTGCAGTTGAGACCAATTAATTTCTCCCTGTTTCTTTATTGTCTTTATTTAAACGTGAATATTGATTGTAAAGGTATTTGAAATTATTGACTTAATAATAAAAATAAAATAAAAATTAAGAGACTTAGAATAACATTAAATCAAAGCCACAAGTTAGAGGAAATAATAATAAAGAAAACTACTTTCAAGAATTTGCATTGTGTCTTTTTTTCAGAAATCCTATGTGTCCTGTTGGTATTATATGCACATTATTTCTGCTGAAGAAAGATGTATTCAAATAGTTTCCTCACTGCATGCTTGATCTCCGTGTTCCTCATGCTGTAAATGAGGGGGTTCACTGCTGGAGGCAACACTGAGTATAGAAAAGCCACCACCAGATCCAGGGATGGGGAAGAAATGGAGGGGGCTTCAGGTAGGCAAATATGCCAGTGCTAAGAAACAGGGAGACCACAGCCAGGTGAGGGAGGCACGTGGAAAAGGCTTTGTGCCGGCCCTGCTCAGAGGGCATCCTCAGCACTGCCCTTAAAATCTGTACATAGGACACCACAATGAAAACAAAACAACCAAAAACTAAAGAAACACTAAAGACAAGTGCCCCAACTTCCCTGAGGTAGGCACCTGAGCAGGAGAGCTTGAGGATCTGGGGAATTTCACAGAAGAACTGGTCCACAGCATTGCCTTGGCAGAGCGGCAGGGAAAATGTATTGGCCGTGTGCAGGACAGCATTGAGAAAGCCACTGCCCCAGGCAGCTGCTGCCATCTGGGCACAAGCTCTGCTGCCCAGGAGGCTCCCGTAGTGCAGGGGCTTGCAGATGGCAACGTAGCGGTCATAGGCCATGACAGTGAGAAGGGAATACTCTGCATCAAAAAGAAGACTATGAAAAGGACTTGTGCAACACATCCTTGATATGAGATGGTCTTGGTGTCCCAGAGGGCATTGGCCATGGCTTTGGGCAGAGTGGTGGAGATGCAGCCCAGGTCGAGGAGGGCGAGGTTGAGGAGGAAGAAGTACATGGGGGTGTGCAGGCGGTGGTCGCAGGCTACGGCAGTGAGGATGAGGCTGTTGCCCAGGAGGGCAGCCAGGTAGATGCCCAGGAAGAGCGCGAAGTGCAGGAGCTGCAGCTCGCGTGTCTGCGAATGCCAGCAGGAGGAATTCACTCACAGAGCTGCTGTTGGACATTTACAGGTTCTGCCACGGAGTCCTGCCCAAGGCAGAGGAAGACTATTTACCACAGAGTTATGTGAGAGGAATAATTTCCATTTCTCTTTTAAGCCTCCCTTTGCAAATATCCGTAGACCTTTGGCGGGTCTTTTTCATGCCATATTAGTGATGCTGCCTTAAGGCCTCCATGGGAGCAGGCGATTCTGCTCTGGACAATGCAGGAGTCAGTCCTGACCTACAGCAAGAGATGAAGAACATAGGTGGATTTATATTTTCTATATTATGTTCTAGCTGCCCCACCACACCTGAGCACTGTCTGTAAGGCATAAATCCTGGGCACTTCTGCTGCATTCCAAGTGAAATCCTGTGAATCGTCAGAAGCAAAGGTACTATTCCTTTAGTTCGGGTTGTACTTTCAGAGGGGACAGACCTCTGTCTATAGAGGCTGGTCTCTTCTGCTGGCATGTGTATGAGCTGTAGGATAATTATGCTCACATGTTCACCTGAAAAGAAGTAGGACACTGCTGAATCCAGGCTCAGAGTGCACATCTCCAGACACCTCACCCTGTCCCTGTATTTGCCATTCCCCAAGCACACCGAGGGTTCACTTCATGTGCATGTGAAACCCCATCCCCAGCCAGAATCACAGAATTGCAGGGGTTGGAAGGGACCTCAAGAGATCATCTGGTCCACCCCCCCTGCCAAAGCAGGTTCCTTGGAGCAGGCTGCCCAGGTAGGCATCCAGACAGGCCTTGAATATCTCCAGAGAAGGAGACTCCACAACCTCCCTGGGCAGCCTGTTGCAGAGCTCCGTCACCCTCACCGTGAAGAAGTATTTTGCATGTTGGTGCGGAACTTCCTGTGCTCCATGTTTTGACTATTTGCCCCATGTTCTGTCCCCACAAACCACTGAAAAGAGGTTGGCCAAATCCCTCTGTCTCCCACACTAAGATATTTGTAAACATTGATAAGATCCCCTCTCAGTCTTCTCTTCTCAAGGCTGAACAGACCCAGGTCTCAGCCTTTCCTCATAGTGAAGATGCTCCAGGCCCCGTATCATCTTTGTGGCCCTCCGCTGGACTCTTTCCAGGAGATCCCTGTCTTTCTTGCACCGGGCAGACCAGAACTGGACACAGCACTCCAGGTGAGGCCTGACCAAGGCAGAGTAGACGGGGAGGGTCACCTCCCTTGACCTGTCTCCAAGCTCCTTTTAATGCCTGGAAACAAGAACAGCAGCAGCACGGCCAGGTGGAGAAGCCAGGAGGAATGCCAGCGTGCTGCTGCCAGGGGAGGCAAGGCCAGGGAGGGACAGACGGACACTCAGCAGACCCTCTGTGCTGCAGCTCTGCCTGCAGAGAGGCAGCTCCTTCTCTTTGCAAACAATCTCTGCTCTGCCTTGGCCTGCAGACACCTCCCAAAGACAGGGGGTATCAGGGCTTTTGCAGCTCCCAAGATCAGCTAGGATAAAACCTGAGAGGACCACAATATGATGTTGGTGCAGTCTGTGAGATGAGGTTTGGGAAGGTAGTTTTCAAATTTCATTACTGATATATTAATTTCTCAGTACAATACTCCAGGAGTCTCAGTCTCCTGTACAACCCTGAAAATTCATTACCATGAAACCTTTGTCCACTCCACTGCAGGAATATGAATACACTGACTAAAAAAAATCTTGCTTTTCAGGTAGTCCCTGCCCTGGTCTTTCTCTTGAAAAATCCAATTTTAAATGCCATTCTCTAAAGCATCTTCTACTCCTCACTGGAGAAACAGAGAGAAACACCCTGACATATACTATCAGCCATCAGATGTGCCAGGTGTAGAAGACCCCTCTGGCAACCCCACCTGCAGTGCCCTGCTGCCAGAGCCTCACGGTGTCAAGAGCCTGCAGATGTGTCCTGCCACACGCTGCCCTCTGTTGTTGCACTCCTCAGTGTCTCCAAGCCCTCTCTCCTTCTCTCCTCTCTGTGTGCCAGCTGCTGTCAGAGCCCCCAGCCCTGCTGCGCTGTGCAGAGGAGCTGCTCCTGGGCACAGCTGTCTCTCTGCTGCGCTGCCCGCTTGCCAGGAGCTCCCCTTGGGCCCAGGAGCCCGGCCCAGCTCAGCAGCACAGCACCCGACCATGGCATCTCTTGCTCTGTGCTGTTGGGCTCCCTCGAGGTGTCCCCAAGGCCTCAGGGCTGACAGCACCTGAAAGCAGCAGGGTCTCTCCTGGGGTGTGGTGTTTGAAGCAGCCCGAAGTCATCACCGACTGCCCTTCTCTGAACACAGGAAGGATGACTTTTACAAGGGTGATTTGTGCTTTTAGACTGTGGTTGTCAAAGATGTTGTGCTTTAACCTGTCAGGCACCTCAGCACCACACAGCTGTTAGCTCACACCCACCCCTAAAAAGACAATGGGTTGAAATAATGATAATGTAAAAAGACAGAAAATGAAGAGATAGGAATAACAGTAACAATACTAATAATAAATAATAATAATATATTTTTATTATTGTTATATGTATAAAGCAAGTGATGAACAGTGCAATTGCTCATCACACACTGATCGATGCCCAACTTTTTCCCAAGCAGGGGTCCCACAGAACCTGGACAGCCTGCATTAGGCTCTCGTGTACAGGTCCCTTGACCTTACTTTGTTATAGGGCAATACAGGTTTTCAGAAGGGTTTGCAACATTTGCTTCCCTTCCTCAAATACTTCCGCTGTGTTGGAAGTGTTCAGGAGATTCCCTGTGTTGCAGGGCAGTCTGGATCAGCCCATGGCAAAAGTAGGGCTGTGCTTCCAGCCCTGGGGCAGTTTATTCCAGGTGGGCAGGACACCCCTCCATGTGAAAGCAAAGTGTGGCCTTCGTACTGCCACCAAAGGGATGGAGAAAAAATGCATTAGTAATATTAATTGTGGCATAGCACTTGGCTGCCTTTGACTCCAGTTCGTACTGAATGAAGTTCTAGCATGCCTGGCACAGCAGCACTCAGTGGTGGTGGGACTTCATTCAAGCCACAGAAGTGCACCGTTATCTTCCACTCCCATTCGAATTTTGTACTGTCCATATGGGACTATTATAGGGTGAGCAAGTGTTGCTGATCACTCCGTGGCTCTCCAGTCGATGAACCAGCTCATGGATGGGAATCAGGGAGTCTCTGTTAGTGCAATATTGCCTCGGGCGCACTGTTGTGGTAGCGATTGGCACCTGCTACTCATTGGCCATCAGCACTTCCACAGCAGAAGGGTCCTGTGAAAGAGTGGGCAAGGTAGACAACTGCTTGGTGTCCTCCACCTCCAAGGCAGCTATGCCAAAAGCCCACCAATACCCTTGTGGATCTCCTGAAGTAGTCTATGGCAATGTTACACAGAGCCTCCAGGCCAGTGCCAATGGGTTGCATTTGCCACTCCTTCCCCGTTAGACTCACTTCAGCCTCCTGTATAGCTAAGTTTGGGTTTGATGTGCCAGGCCAATAATCCTCAAAGTCCAATACACCGATTGTCCTCTCCCTCCCCCAGGGTGAAAGCTGTGCCCCTCGAGTCCTGCTCATAGTATTCTTTACTCTGTTTGGAGGATTGCCCACTAGAAATTGGAGCAGCAAGTGTCACAGAAGAACCACTTTTTGACAAAGTTTTTCCTTGTGCTTCATGTATCCGTGCCTCTAAGGTGGAGGTCGATTTTTGCATCCCATTTTCTCATGGCCTCTCCATGGTCACACAGTCAAAAGCACAGGATGGAACCTGGAATGTACCCACTATGTCACCTTTCTTAAGCAGAGGGATGCTTACATCTGATAGCTGAGCTATTGGTTCGTGCAGGTGGGGAGGAAGCCATATTCTCTTGGAGTTGTTGGACCTCTTGGGAAAGATTCTTTCTGGACAAGACACAGACCCATAGGGAAGAAGAGAGACTTGCTTTGTAATGCCATAGTTGGCTAGCCAATTCATCCACCATGGGTTCCTCTTGGTCTTTCCAGGTCACTACTGCCCATGGGTTGGCATACGATGATGGTGTGCTCTGTAGAAACTCCTGCCCCATGGATCATGTGCACTTGACTTCATCTGGATCTTTGGATAGCTGTTTGTTATCTAGGTTTTTTATAAATCTCCTTCAGCAAATCTCCTTCTAATTCCCTCAGGTACCGGATACCCCTTGCATGGTGGTCCACTTTCCTGGTTGACATACAAGATCTTCCTTCAAGGGAGACCTTTCCTTGATGCCTGACAGGATGAAGTTTCCTTGTGCCCATTTGCAACGGCTTTGTCAATCACCTACAGGAGGATCCCAGCTGCTTGGCTTCCCTGCCTTCTAATTCCAGGCTATTGGCCCTGTTCTCCCACCACTGGAGCAGCCAGATGACAATGTGCTCACTGAGATGATGGCTGAAATCATTTCCAATACCTCGTAGCTTACCATGGATAGAGACCACTTGGTTTCCGATGCTTATATTATTTCACAGAATCACAGAATCACAAAATCACAGAATTTCTAGGTTGGAAGAGACCTCAAGATCATCGAGTCCAACCTCTGACCTAACGCTAACAGTCCCCACTAAACCATATCCCTAAGCTCTACATCTAAATCTTTTGAAGACTTCCAGGGATGGTGACTCCACCACCTCCCTGGGCAGCCTGTTCCAGTGTCTAACAACCCTTTCAGTAAGAAATTCTTCCTAACATCCAACCTAAAGATCCCTT